AATTTGGTTAAGTTTTGATATTTCCTTCTTGATATTTTTGTCTAGTTGATCTGTCTGTGACAATGGGGTATTGAAGTCCCCCATTAAAATTGTATTAGTGAGTAATGGGGGCTGGGGATTTAGCTCAGTGGCAAAGTGCCTGCCTAGAAAGCGCAAGGTTGTGGGTTCAGTTCCCGGTACCGAAGAAAAACCAAAAAAAATAAAATAAAATTGTATTAGTGCTTATTGGATTTTTAATGTCCAATCCCTGATATTTGGTACATATATAGTTATGATTATTATCTCTTCCACTTGGATTGTTTTTACAAGGATATAGTGACCTTCTTTGTCTCTCTTAATCAGTCTTGGTTTGAAATCCACTTTGTCTGCAAATAGAATAGGTACCCCTGGTTTTTCTGGGTTTCTGTTGCAGGGGTATTGTTTTCCGTCCTTTGACTTTCAATCTGTGAATTTCTTTTTGAATAAATGTGTTTCTTGTATGCAGCATATTGTTGGATCTTGCCTCTTGATCTATTCTGACAGTCTGTTTCTTTTGATTGGTGAATTGAGACCATTAACCTTGATGGTTATAACTGATACACATTGACTTATCCTTGTCATGTTATTTTCTTGTCGTTGGTTCCCCTTTCTCCTCTCTGTTTAGTTGCTTGCCTTTCCTGGTAGATTCATTCTGTTGGGGTTCATGGGGTTGTAGTCCTTTTTATCTCTTTCTGAAAGATCCTTCAGGGGCTGGGGATTTAGCTCAGTGGCAAAGCGCCTGCCTGGCAAGCGCAAGGTCGTGAGTTCGGTTCCCGGTACTGGAGAAAAACCAAAAAAAAAAAAAGATATATGAAAGGTCGTGAGTTCGGTTCCCGGTACCGGAGAAAAACCAAAAAAATAAATAAATAAATAAATAAATAAATAAATAAATAAATAAATAAATAAAAGATCCTTCAGAAAATTTTAAATTGCTGGCTTGGTGGTCATGAATTTCTTCAGGTAGTCTTTGTCATGGAAGTATCTTATTTCTCCCATCAATTCTGAAAGATAGTTTTGTGGGGTACATCAATCTGGGTTGGAGGTTGTTTTCTTTTAGGGCTTGAAATACTTTACTCAGAGCTCTCCTTGACTTAAGAATTTGTGTTGAGGGGGCTGGGGATTTAGCTTAGTGTCAAAGCGTCTGCCTGGCAAGTGCAAGGTTGTGAGTTCGGTTCCCGGTACTGGAGAAAAACCAAAAAAAAAAAAAAGAATTTGTGTTAAGGACTCTGCTGTGATTCTGGTGGCTTTCCTTTATAGGTGACTTGTTTCTTTTCTCTAACAGCTTTTAGTATTCTATTCTTGTGTTGCATTTCTGGAATCTTGACTTTTTTTTTATCATGGATAATTAGAATTCTATATGCCTCACTTACTGTATTTCAATTTCATTTTCCCTGCTTAGGAAGTTTTCTGCCATTGCTTTTGTGAACAGGTTTATGTCATTTGTGCTATCTCCTGCCTTTTTTTTTTTTTTTTTTTTTTTACCTCGAATCAATCTTATGTTATTCTTTTTTGCATTATCTAGTAGTTGCTGTATTGATTGTGTGTGTGTGTGTGTGTGGCCCCTTGGTATTTTTAAGAAATCTTTCTTTCATGATCAGTAACCACAGTCCTGGCTTCTATATCTGATATTTGGTCCTCACATTGGCTCATTGTGCTGTGTGTACTTTCAATCAAATTTTTGACCTCCTAGATATCTGTTTGAATGTGTTTCATGGGCTCTGTTTCTTTCCTATGTTGAGCATTCATGGTTTCCATCATTTTCCTAAGCTCCTCTATTTTTTTATCCATATTTGCTCTAGAATCACTAGCATGTCTTTCATTATGGTCACCATCTCTGTAGTTATCTGAGAAATTATGACTTGGTTTTTTTTCTAGAGCCTTATTCATCTGCTCTGTTACTTCCACTATTAGCATTTCAGAGAGTCTAGTTGAGTGATATTTGAATTGTTCCAACTCATTGCCCCCTGGGTTTGCCTTTGGTGAGCTGGAAGTCTGGAGTTGCATCTTGCTTAGTGTTTTCTCATTTTCTATTTTTTTGTCAGTTGAATTTTTGGGTTAATGTTTGTAAAGTGTTTATGGCAGGTAACTTTATTGCTAGTATTGAGAAGCCTTCAGAAATGATTATTTCTCAGAGATGTCTTCCAGGTGTATCTGGCTTTTGAGTTTTGAGTCTATTGCAAGATCCTACCTCTTCAATTTATTGGAGATGAGAAGTTGCTGCCTATTTGGCCTAGCCCCTTGTTCTTTGGCACTGGCTATATATTGTTTATGACCCTTTGGCAATCACAGTCTTGGCCTACCAGGAAGAACAGCTGATTAGAACAATGATGTCACCTTGGCTAAAGTAGTACAATGACTAATAACAGTAGCACCCAAACACAGCTTAGAAAATGACAAACTGTGGTAACTATTAATTTGCTACCTTTAACTGTATAAACTATATTTGGGGTTATATAACAATCTAAAACAAACCAGAAGATTGTATATAGTAAATATGTCCTCAATGTGGAAATTTTACCCTCAGGAGAGAACATTTTAAAAGAGCTAGGGCAAAAAATAGAAGAGGAAGAGATTAGAAGCAAAGCTGGAAGGCAAAGGAAGATTGTATGAAGAACTTTGGGAAACTGGTGGAGAAGATAGGAAGGTAAGAGAAAAAGAAGAGAAAAGAACAGAACAGAACAACAACAAACAAAGCTAGAAACAATGTTCATATTCATTAAAACAACAAGACCAATCAAGAAAAAAACGAGAAAAAAAGTCTACTTCAGGGCATTTCTCTGCTGTCACTGGTAGACAGAGTGGGCAGACAGAACCCAGATCTGTGTTGATTAATCCCAGCAAGCCAGCCATAAGATTTACCTTGGGTAGTAGATAATCCCTGCAAGCCTCACCTGTAGTTCCAATGAAGTTCAATTTTGTTTCTGGCTGTGAGGGTGGAACCTAATTTGTTCAGCCTGCAACATTGTGTGCCTCCTGCTAGCAGCTCCTTGGACAGCCCACTTTCCTCCTTTCTTCCTCATGTAGCTATATGCCAGTGTTCACTACTCTACCATCTCCCCAGAAGTCTCATAGTTACTCCTGAGCCAGTGGTTCATTCATTCATTCGTCAAATAATTTTTAAGCACCTATCTGAAGCACTATTCTTGGCAAACAGACAAAAGATCTGTGTCCTTGGAAGCCTATTGGAGGGGTATAAAAAGCAATATAGAATAATAAAATGAATGAGAAAGTAATACGTGCCTTGAGTAAAACTCAGTGCAGCTTGATGTGGTGGTGCACACCTGTAATCCCAGCACTCAGGAAGCTGAGGAAGCAGGATCATTGTGAGTTCAAGACCAACCTGGGCTACAAAGTGAGTTTAAGGCCAGCCTGAACTGCATAGGGAGATCCTGTCTCAAAAAAGACAAAAAAAAAAAAAAAATCCTCAATGCATTATTTATGGGCAGATAGGAATCTGACATTTATGCTGGTTAGAGAAAGCCTCATTGATAAGGTGACATTTGCTCAAAACCTTATAAGAAATCAGAACAGATCATAACCTATCCTAGGCAGAGGGGAAACTTAAGTTTAGACTATTATTGGCCTTTTCGAGGAACAGGAAAAAAGATAATAAGATTGGAGTGATTTGAAATGACCTTAGAGAATAATAGGAGACTATATCATATGGGCACTTGGAGGCAATAGAGTCTTGGTTGTTACTGTAAATGAAATGTGAGTTTGTAGCAAAAGAAAGGATTGTGGCTGTTAGGTAGAAAATAGTGATGGTACAAGGAAACCAGGAAGACAGTTTATCAGCTGTTGTAATAACCCAGGTAAAAGGGTGACTCAGACCAGGGTTTGTATTAGAGGAGGTGGTGGAAAGGTGGTGGAAAGATTCTGTGGAAATTTTAGAGGAACAGAAAACAAGATTTGTTGATAGGTTGGATATAGGGTTCTGAAAAAAAGACAATAGTTTGGAAGGCCCCAAGGGTATTAGCCTAATCAGTTTTAAGAATGGAGTTGCTGTTTACTGAATTACGAAAAGCAGGTTTAGAGTTTGGATTTGGATGTGTCAGGTTGGAAATGCCTGTCCAAGTACAGTCATCACTGAGTATCATTGGTTGTAGGACACACAGGCACACACACCACAGATATCAAACTCATGCTGATGCACGAGTCTCCGGTTTAAAATGACATAGTATTTTATATATATCTTACACACATCCTCTTGTACACTTTATCTTAAAACACTCAATACAGTATAAATAGTTGTTATATGTATTATTTAGGAACAGTGACAAGGATAAGTTGTATGTGTTCAGTGTTACAGGGGTTTTCTTCCAAGTATTTTGATCTGTGATTGTTTGACTCTGTGTATGTGTGGCCCACAGATAACTGAAGGCCAACTGTATAGATGTTTAATAGGTAATTGGGTTTGTCAATCTGGAGTTCAAGGGAGGGATCTGGGCTAGAGATGGAAATGTAGGGGTCATAAGGACAAATAAGTACAGATAGACTGAGCCTAGAATAGGTCACCATGGAGGGGTCTGAGAGGTGAAAGTATTAGGATTATGTGCCTTTTATTCTTAGGCTTTTTAATATTAGTTACACTAGTTGATTTTCAAATGTTGAGCCAGCCTTGCATCCCTGGAATTACTTCACTTCATTATGGTGTGTAATTCTTTTTGCATATTGCTGAGTTATATTTCCAGATATTTTGTTTAGGACTTTTGCATGTATCTTCATGAGGGAACTTCATCTGTATTTTGTCTAGTTTTTGTATTGTCGTTGGTTTTGGTGCCAGGGTAGTACTAATTTCATAAAATGGATCGGAAAGTGTTTCTCCCTCTTCTTTTTCTGGAGCAAATCCCACCAAACATTTAAAAAAGAATTAACATCAATTCTATGTTGTGCATGAAAAAATTTAATCATAGATACTTTTTTATTTTTATCAGATAATTCTAACATCTTTGTCAACTTGGAGGTTTCTTTTCTTTCCAAAGATACTGAGTTTTCCTCTGATGTGCTGAAGTCTCTTCGCTGGGTTCCTCCGGATCTTTTCACGATGACTGTGAGTCCTTTCAGAGCAGTGCTACATTTTCTGGAATGTCAACAGTCTAATTGCTGAGAATGGTCTTTATTCTCACAATAGAGGTGGCAAAGAACCAGTTAACTCTTACATCCCTTCCTTCTTCAAGAGCTTAGCACAGTGTATGATATGTAGTATAAGTCTTCAGAGTACTGAAGGCTTAATGTTTATCCACCTTGTTTTACTTATTTATTAAACATGAGTGAGTGGGAAGTGCTTGGCTGACACTACCAGATACAGAAAAATAACAAGTGGCAACACTAAAAGATACACCATGTGATTGGGGGAAGAGGCAAATAAATTCATCATTTTAACCAAAGACAGCAGTCTTACAGCATGCTTTGTATGCTACTGCTAGGTGAAGTATTGAACAAGTATTTCTCTATGTAGGCAGACTGTACATGTTGTAGGTTTCCTTTTCTTAACTGGTCGTAAGACTGACCTTGTGAACTTTTAAGATCATGGATTCCCAAACATACCCACCCTGCCCCAAAACAGATTCTGATTCAGTAGCTCTGGTTTGGAACCTAGGAATCTGTCCTTAAATTGTTCCCCTAGATTCTGGTAAGTAGCCAGGTTAGGAAGCTCTGGTATAGTGGAAAAAGTATGTGCAACGTTTGAAGTGAGTCAGGCTTGAGATGAATCCCATGTCTGACACTTGCTTACCATGTAAGCATCACTTAGCCTCTCAGCCTTGAGGGTGAGAGATTTATATACATGAAATACTGTCATGTGATGGATATTTTGAACAATAATAATAACAACAAAAACCTCTCTTCTTCAGTAATTTGTATCAGTAGTTGTGAATTCCTCTCTATGGGGTCAAAACCCAGTCATCCTTTCCATAGGCTGATCACTAAAATTTGGAAGTTTTAGACATCATTTTACTTATCAAATTTATTTTTTGTGGAAGAAGCTAGAATTTATGGAAATCACCCAGCCAGTTACTATAGAATCAGAACTAGAACCAGGTCATAAAATTTCTATTCTGATGCTTACCCTGTCTCCGTCTTGGAAACCTGAAAGTGGGCCAGGATACAGCCAAAATCTAGAACTGTGATTGCCCCCAAAAGTGGATATAATAAGATCTTCCCTTAATGGATGAACTACCTATTCGAAAAATAACTCACCCCAAGAGAAGAGAAATATGGCAGTTTTTACCCAGAATCCAGTTCAGGCATAGCTGATACAAAAATTCTACTGATGAAACAACCAGATTTTAGAATATTATTTTTTTAATTTAATTTATTTAATTTTAGAATATTATCAATTCAATAAGCATTTATTAAATACCTATTCTATGCTAGAAGCAATAAATAAGCCAGTCAAAGATCTCTGTCTCCTAGAGCTTATATTCCAGTAAAGAGAGAAGATAAACAGGTAGATAATCTTTGACAGCTGGTGTTAAGTACTGTGAAGGAAATTTTAAAAGGCAGAAAATGAGACAGGAGATAGCCCTCCAGAGTAGGGAGGAGTGGAGGTGGGATGGAGTTTGTAATAAGGACAATCAGAGAAGGCCTCAGTTAGAAGTCACATTTGAGCAAATCCCTAAAAAAGGCAAGGGAGCAAGCCATGAGGATATGTGTGAGAAAAGCAAATGGAAAGGCCAGGAGCACAGAATCTGTCAGAGTATCACCCAGGGTGAAGCCTGGCTCAGGTGCCACGATGGCATCTTTGTCTTTTTTTTTTATTTGTATTAGATGCTATGCCTTTTCTTCCCTCTGGCCTGTGCTTGTGATGCCCTTTTACCTTGAGCAGCCTTCTCATACAGCCCCAGCCGTGTAGTGTTCCCATCCCAATACAAATCCTTCCTCCCTAGCTACCAAGCTCTGTTGATATTCATTCTATCCTTCTCTCCCATTTTTCACTTTTTGCTTTATAATACAGTAAGTACCTTTTGAGCCGCCATCTTGTCCTCTAAGTGTCTTTAAATATAACACCTTATCCTAGACAGTGTTTCTTTTGCCTTCATCACCTGTGCACCATGGCCCAGAGATTTTAAATAGCTCATTTCTGTAACAAGACAGAAAGAGGTAGAAAGTAGGGGGAAAGACTTGCCAAGGAAGTGAGTTTATTCATATTCTCCAGTTGCAGATCTCTTTTGCCACCTCTGCAGTGGCTACTTCTCAGGACCACAGTTGGGGTCCACTAAACTAGGGTTTAGATGGCCATTAGCTGGGGAGAACAGTTTATTCATGCTTATGTTTATTTGCTTACTATCTTTACTTACTGTCTCTTGATCATTTTCTCTACTCACCCAGAGAATGATTTTGTTCTGCATGCCTCATCCCGGAATACTTCCTAAGCTAGAATGTTTCTGTCACTGTTAGTTTTATAAGCATTAAACTTTGCAGAAACACCACTTTAGATAATCAGGGTTGCACTCTATAGGAATAGAATCTAGGACTCTTAAGGCTCTAAATCTCTAAACAATTTCTTCTGTAATATTGTCACACAAGTATGATTTCATGATCATCCCATAAAGCTATGTGATTGCCTTTTATAGTTATATCAGAGTAGCAGTGTGTTATATTGTCTTCCTTACAGAAATCTGGTTTATGTATTTCTGAGCCTTAATGCATTCTTTAGATCTCTGTAGTAAATCTACATCTACAGTATATAGCATTTCATGAGAGAATATACCACAGTTTATCCATTCTGCTGTAAATGGACATTTGGGTAGTTTCTGTTTTAGGGTGATTTTAGATGGTGTATTCCAGATGTATTCTTTTGGAAAAACATGTACATTTCTGTTGAATACATGTTGGAGAGTAGAATGACTAGATCATAGGGCATGTGTATGTTCACCTTTAAAATGATAGATACTGCCACAGTTCCACACTAATTGTACCAATTTATACTTCTAGGACAGTAAATGAGAGTTCTAATGACTTCATATCCTGTCAACACCTAATTTTCCTTTGCTTGGTTTTTGGTTTTTGGTTTTTCTGGTTTTTTGAGACAGGTCTTGAAATGCAGTTCAGGCTGGCCTTGAACTATGTAGCCCAGGCTGGTCTCATACTTGCAGCAATCCTCTTGCTTTAGTCTCCTAGCTGCTGAGATTACAGGGATGTGCCATCACACCTGCTTCCTCTTTTTTTTTTTTTTTTTTTTAATTTAGCACTTTTGGTGGATGTTCAGTGGTTTTTCATTGTGGTTTTTAATTGCATTTCTCTGACTAATTATGTTGAATGTTCTTTAATTGTTGGTTGACATTTGGATAGCCTTTGTTATGATGTATACAAGTCTTTTTTCATGTTTTTGTTGGTTATCATTTTCTTAATGGCTTATTTTTTAAAACCTTTTATATATTCCATTTAAATACTTGATATGAGTGTTTTGTTTTGTTGTTGTTGTTGTTTGTTTGTTTGTTTGTTTGTTTTCCGGTACCAGGAATTGAACTCACAACGTTGTCGCACTTGCCAGGCAGGCAGTGTGCCACTGAGCTAAATCCCCAGCCCCTAATATGAGTGTTTCATCAGATAAATAGCCAATATCTTCCCTCATTATGAGTTGCTGTTTCACTCTCTTAATAGTGTATATTGATGAACAGGTCTTATTCTTAATGTTATTTAGTTTATTCTTTTAATTTTATGTATCTGTTTAAAACATCTGCCCACTCGAAGTTCACAAAAATAGTTTTTGTTTTCCTTGGAAAGCTTCGTTTTATATATCACATTTAAAATTAGTGTGAGATGAAATCCAGGTAGATGAAAGATACATGTGCATATATACATACATACATACAGTGCTTCCCTCTTACAGTTTTGTTTTCTGTGATCAGCCATCTTCAAAAATACTAATATTTTAATTGGCTCTCTCAAAAAGATTAAATTCACATAAGTTTTATTACACTATGTTATAGTTCTTCTATTTTATTATTAATCTTACTATGTCTAATTTGATAATTAAACTTAATCATATATATGAAAAAACATATGTATTTTTAAGTGCTATCTGTGGTTTCAGGAAGATATTCCACTGTGTGTATTGTGTATTTTTTAATATTGATAGACAGATAACATGATACCGTTAACTGACAAGACCATTCTTTCTTGCACTTCATTTTATTGTCACTTTTGTTAGGTGTATGTACCTAGATCTGGACTCTGTGTGATGCTATTTCTGAGCTTTATTCTTCTCCATTAACCTGTTTTTGTTTATTCCAATACACTAATTATTGTATCTTTACAGTAAATCTTGAAATAGGATTCTGTAAGTTTTCCACTTTCATTCTTTTTGTTCAGAATTGTCTTTGCTCTTCTAGGTTCTTTACATTCCCATAAAATTTTTGGAGTCATCATGCTATTTTTTTTTTTTTTTTTTTACAAAACTCCTGTTGGAATTTTGATTGAGATTATGTTGATTCTACCAGTAGTTCTCATTCAGGGGTGGTTTTTGTCCTCCACAGAATATTTGGTAATGGCTAGGCCCATTTTTGATTGTCACAACTGAAGGGGTGCTAAGAGTACATAGTGGATAGATGGATAGCCAAGATCTAAAGGCCAAAGATTCTCCTAAAGATCCTAAAATGCACAGTATAGCTCTCCACCAACAAATTATTATTCAATCAAAAATGTCAGTAGTGCTACTGTTAAGAAACTCTGAATTAATGTAATCACTATTCTAATAGGGCTTCTAACTATCTTGTTTGTTTTCTGTTTGGCTCATCAGTTTTATTTTTTCCTAATTTTTACCTTTTGAATTAATCAAAAATATTCCTTTTTTACTGCCATATAAACTTGCTAGATAGATGTTCCTTTATAATTATCTTAGAAATTATCCATCAGATTTCAACATGCATTCAGCATCTTGACATGTTACAGTCTAATACAAATTATTTTAATGCTTCCTGATACTGTCAGAATCTTAGAACACTTAACTCTTTCTCCCTCCCTGCCTTTTGTGCATTTTTATTCCCTTGCATTTTAATTTTATATTTACTAATACTACAAGAGACATAATAGTTACTGTTTTGTACA